GCAAGCAGAGATGCGGAAGCGGCGGAAAGGCGGCGGAAAGCTGCCGATTCGAGGAGCAGAGATCCGGCCTCAAAAAATGCCATCGGATCATCCTCACGGGATCAATGCGGCACTCATCAGGATCGTCGTCACGAATTCTCGGCCCAGCCTGTTGCGCTTGTGCAGAGCAACGCTATCTGCCGGCCTTCTTGAGACTTCGCGGCCGTGCTGGACCTGGGCATTAAGACGCATGTCGGGTACGCCTGGCAGGCTTGCAAGTCCCGGGTGCCTACTCACATGGGATGGGCCCAGGGGCCCAGCATTCTGCCTCGTTGAAGCCAAGATGCATCACCAGCACGTCCGACAGCGGACTCGGATCCACAGCGGTAACGGCAAGGACACGCCCGCCGTCCAGGGATTTCCAACCATGGTGCGCCCTGTACCCATCATCATGCCAGAACTCAAACAGCAGCGGAAGCAGCAGTTGGGGAAGGCCACCGGAACGATGATTCGGTCTCAAGGAGATGGCATCGGTGCATCGTCATGGGACAGGGTCCATCTGCGTTGGCGAGGAGCTTTGCGTCAAGGAAACGCGACGTCACGGCGTCGGCCAGACTGTATCTGCTCAAAGCAGACATCGCCGTCCAGTCTGCTGCGCTTGCACTAGTGCAGGGACGTGCGAGCAACCCTTTCCTACGCTGCTTGGACAAGAAGCATACCTAAAAAACTCTGGGCTGGAAGACATGCAAGTGTTCGGCCCGTCTTGCCTGCCAGGACTGTGCCGACAGACCTCATCTCAAATTCACCGGGGGTTTGGGTTAGGACTTGAAAGCAGAAACGTCTGGCAACTGCGAGCCCCAGTTGCAGAAGGCATAATGAACGCAAACCATGGGCTGATTCGACAATGTGGAGATGCCATCGGATCATCATCGAGTTGTAAAGTCCGGGCAGTAAGCTGTCAACGGTTTCAGTCCTGCCGGCTTGTCGCCCGTCTGCCTGCTGCAGACTTCCTGGTCATGCTCGAATGTGCGTTCAGGCGTCGGGCATTGTCAGTTGCCATTGGCTTTTCGTCGCCTGTAGCTCAGACACGCCCGGCAAGCCAAGCCTGCCTGCCGCATTCTGCCTTTGTGAAGCCAAAACACATCACCAGCACGTCCGACAGTGGACTAGAATCAACGGCAAGGACACGCATGCCGTCCAGGGACTTCCAACCATGGTGCGCCCTGTACCCATCATCATGCCAGAACTCAAACAGCGGAAGCAGATGTTGGGGAAGGCCACCGGCTCAAGGAACGATGATTCGGTCTCAAGGAGTGGTCACGACGTCGGCCAGACCGTATCTGCTCAAAGCAAACATCGCCGTCCAGTCTGCTGCGCTTCCAGGGTGCAGGGACGTGCAGAGCAACCCTTTGCCGCCGCCATGTCGGACAGACCTCATCTCAAATTCACCGGGATTGTTGGGTTAGGACTTGAATGCGGAAACGTCTGGCAACTGCGAGCCCAACAGACCTTGCAAAACGAGGCAGTGCCTGAGGTGACAGTGGCTGCCAGGCCCTGCCCTACGCAAACCTGGGCGCCTGCCGCTCTGCAAAAGGCCTTGGCAAAGGTTCCGAATAAAGCTCCGGGGCCAGATGGGTGGAGCTATGAAATGCTTCGGGCTTCGGGTGTCCTCGGTTACAGTTTTTCGTCGCTCTAGTACCACCATGCCCGGCAGGCTTACAAGTCTCGGGTGCCAACTCAACATGCATCACTAGCATGACAGAAAGGCGGACGACGATGCACAGCGGTAACAGCAAGCACGCCTGCCAGCCAGGGACTTCCCAGCATGATGCGCCCTGTCGTCATGCCACATCGGCGCATCCTCCTGGGACAGGGCCCATGCGCGTTGGCAAAGAGGTTCGAGAGCACGGAAACACGACGTCACGACAAAGGCCAGACCGTATCTGCTCAAAGCAGTTGCAGAAGGCCGGCACCGTCAAACCCGCGTCAAACGGACTCTGCTTCCTGGCATCCGGCTCGAGGCCCTATGCAGAGACTCGGGGAGTAATGTGTGCAATCCATGGGCTGATTCGACAATGTGGAGACGCCATCGGATCATCATCGAGCTGTGAAGTCCGGGCGGTAAGCTGTCAACGGTTTGACTGGCAGGCTTGCAAGTGAAAGGTGCCTATTCACATGGAAGCCTGCCATGGGCCCAGTGCTCTGCCTCTTTGAAGCCAAAAGGCATCACCAGCGCGTCCGACAGCGGACTAGGATCCACAGCGGTAACGGCAAGGACATGCCCCGTCCAGGGACTTCCAACCATGGTGCGCCCGGTACCCATCGTCATGCCAGAACTCAAACAGCGGAAGCAGAAGGAGGGCAAGGCCACCGGCTCTAGGAACGATGATTCGGTCTCAAGGAGATGCCGTCGGCGCATCCTCCTGGGACAAGGTCCATGTGCGCTGTCGAAGTGCTTCGCGAGCACGGAAACTCGACGTCACGACGTCGGCCAGGCCACATCTGCTCAAAGCAGTCCTAGCCGGTCCGCTGCGCTTGCACTGGTGCAGAACAACGGTTCTTTGGTGCTTGGACAAGAAATTCCCGGGGCTGGCAGACGAAGGGCCCTCTTCACAGATGCCAGGCGCAGAAGCGCACGAAAGTGCAGTCGCCTCGGTGTTGTAAGCCAGGCCGACCGGGGTGCTCTGGACCCCGCTGCCCTCAAAGTGCCCCTGGGCCTTCGTCGGCCACGGGGCCTTCCTAGTGCAACCGACAAGACGTGCCTGGGCCGTGAGTCTTCGCGAGCCTTGGGGCACCGGCACGTGTCTCGTACCACAGCGGCGACATGGTCTGGCAACTGCAGCTTCCATGCCAAACCTGACCAAGCATCTGCCCAGCACGACCCACGGGGCGAAGTCGTGGAGACATTGCACGAACCGGGGGGGGCCGGACTCCGTCTCTTGTGTCCCGCTCTTAGGATCATATGCGACGGATGTGCCCCTGTTACATGTTGAATCAATCGCCCTGCTCGGTGCAGAACCCTGAACGCCCCTGAACCGTACAACATCCCAGGACCCACATAGTCCCCAAACCTTCCCTGCGTTTCAAGGCCTCGGGGCGAACGAGACGCGATCACAGCGTGTCAGCGTGCGGGTCAATCTCTCGCGCACGTTTGGTGGCGCTGAGCCTGCGGGCCTAGGGACCGAGGAAGAAGGGTGCGGAACCGCTTCTGGCGGCAGGAGCCTTCCCCGCGACACTGCGAAGCAGCGATGCCTGAAGCACCAGATAGGGTCCAACCATGAAACGGTTGGACTATTTCAACTAGAGCATACAAAGAGCAGTGCCTTGGACAAACTGCCATCTAGCCTTCGAGCTCCAAGACTGCCAGGGGCCTGCTGCGGGAGTTGAAGCTGAAGGACCTGCTCCCTAAGCCAGAGTCAGACGACGCGGCAGGTCTGCGGGAGCTGCGCCGCTCTGGGGCTCTGGGGGCAGCGAGCTCGAAGACTACGAGGACCAAGGGGCCGGAGGCTCAGCGCCACAAAGTCCGCCCATGGAAGGCCGCGAAGCACATCGAAGCACCCCGCATCAAAGAGTAGTCGGTGTTAGCTGTGCGGCCGGCAGCTGCAGATAGTTGCCAACCTCAGAAGCAAGGGTGTGTTACCGCGGCAGACACTGGGAGTCTCTGCCAGAGACATGGAAGGCTCGAAGCAACACGGGCGAAGGCAGGAAGAGGACACTGCTCCCGGACTCTGCGGCACACAAAACCGAGAAGGCTCCTGCGACGTGCTTCGAACAGCTACAAGTACTGCTCAACCCGGCTCCTCGATCCTCGATGGTACTGGCAGCCCTGCTGAGCTTCTCAACTCGATGCGGCACTCATCGGCGGAGGCGCAGCCGAATCCGCGGCCGCGCGGTGGAGGGAAGTGACAGTCGTGACATTGCGAAAGAGAGCGAGGAAAGAGAAACGTCGTGATTAAGACTAAACATCTGGGCAGCTGGCGAAGCAGATCTTGGCCAAGCCTTCAAGCTTCCACGGTGAAGGCTACGTGAGACCCCTTGGCTGCTCACTTTCGCGAAACCACACCTTCCTGGCAGGAGCCACAAAGGACGAGCGTCACAAGAGCCTCTCCGACCGCAGAAGATCAACGGTTCGGCCGCACGAGGTCTAGCCCACTATGAGAATCACACTCGAGTGCCATTGAGTCGCAGTTCCTAGGCTCGCGAAAGCACCGAAACTGCGTGGTTCTGAAGCCCTGAGAAACCAGGTCTCCGCAAACTGCACATCATATCTCGTTCATGCAGAAGCTGCGAGAACTGAACTTGCACATCCCATTGGTCCGACGGCCTGACTGCGGAATTTACTTTTATAGGTGCCCGGGATTCAGATGATTCATTCAATTGAGAAGCACGTCGAGCAAGTCGAGCCCACGAGAATCGGCATCTCGATAAACAGGATGATAGCAGTGCAGGGTTGGCCCGCCCTCTGCACGCACATGGAGAGAAGTTCCCCACAGAGACGCGCTCCGTCTAGTGCTTCGGCTTCAGCGCATTCAGGTAGCGTTGCAGCCGGCTCCAGAAACGAGCGGTAAGTGGCAGGCTTGGAGAGCGTTGCCAATACCCCACAGCGTGTCTGGTCACATGCAAGAAGCAAGTGGGGCAAGGGGACCTTCAAAGAGGGCACGGCGCCCGAGAGCTGTGCTTCGCGAGGATCCTGCAGCCCGATGAGGCCGCAACGCCTGGGCTTCCCTCGAGGAATCATTTAGCCATACCTTCTTCGGTTCTACGACCCTCAGCTGCAAGACACGACTGGTTAAGCGAACAGCTTCGAGCATCTCCATGAACTCCACATCCGGGCAGGGCCAGCCCGCAGCAGGCAAAGATGCACTGCGAGTCCTGGGCCTGCAGGCGCCAGGGATCCTCCGCTCCAACTGTGCAGGCGGGTCGCCTGGGAAGCTGCAGAAGGTGGTGTGGTCTTGCTCTGAGCCAGCCGCTCGGGGCGTCGGCGCGGACTCTCAAGCTATCTGCACATGAACAGTGCAGCCGGTCTGCAACGGCCCCATGCAGCCGGGCACCGCCCGGAGTGGAGCAGGCTGCGTACCACGCGCTCAGCAGTGTCCAGTCCTGTGCGTTGAGACCTCCTGATTCATTCTCAAGCCAAGAAGAGATGACGTTTCTTCGAAGGCTTGCAGTGGTGGATCCACGGTTGCGAAACTTGCAGGGCATGACCTTGCGTCTGCTCAGCAAAGGCGACATCAGCAACGACTGCTGTGCCGCTGCGCACCTGGCCTGGCAAACAGGGCTCCCCCTTTGTCTCTCCAACTCTCGGACACAGATGCCATGGCAGGCGTCCGCTGATGCTACAGCTGCAGCACCCCATGCTTGATGCGGCCACGAACTTCCTCCATCGGGTGACCTTTAAAGACTGGCAGTAACACCGTCTTCCAGCTCACAGACCAGCCTTTCTGCAGTTCAACCGAAGCCGCAGACAGGAGAGGGAGATCCTTGCCATCGACAAGCCACCTCTAGGTGAAGACAGAGAGCAAAGAGCAGACTCGGCACATAAGGGAATGCGGTGGGATCCTGTTCTCGAGGCCACTTTTCGCACGACGACAACGCGGAAGCTAGTGGTTCCCGGAATGGGATCTGAACTGTCTTCGACCAACACCTGCCACGTGCCTGCCAAGCACACACTGGGCCTTGTGCGACATGGCATTGGTGGGTCCATGAAGCAACATGGAGCCGACAGAACATTGCTCCACACGGACGCATCGGCAACTTCTGCTCCGGCCTAGCCAAGCAAGCAGCCATCCGAGCTTCTGGCAAATGCCAGCTTGTGAGCGCACCTCAGGCATCGCGACCGCTGCCTCGGTGCCCTAAGCCGTGTTGCGACCGTCCTTCGAGCAGCACATACTCGGACCTGTGCGAAGCTGGCATGTGTCGATCCTACGGCAATCTGGAACCCAGACTGGACGGGACCTTTTGGAAAGTTTCCGTGCCGCGGACGCACAGGCAATCTCTGCACTGAGGCACCCGGGCACGAAGCCCGCTGTTGATTTTCATCTGCACCGAGCCAACTGTAACTGACGTTCAAGTATCTGGCATGTACCAGTAGCTCTTGAAGGCACATTGTTGACGGACAGGTTCAATCAAAGCACCTGGCACAAGCGGCGTTGGGAGGCGTCGAACTCGCCATCGCGAAAATTGCAGAGAAGGGCTCCGCTACATGCACAAGTTGAGCTAGACCAAAGCTGCGGGAGCTGCCCCTAAACCCTGGGTCGGAGACGGAGAATTCCTGCGAGTCAAACGCCCGTGAGTCAGAGTTGGCGGCCATGCGCCGCGAACGCCAAGTCTGTCTCGGGCACACGGAGTCTGAACTTGCACACGCCGCAACACTCTACTCGCATGGGAGCCACGGGACAGCAGCCGCCAGGCTGCATCAGGGTGAATCAGGGGACTCCAGAGTCAGCGACGACCATCGTAGTCCTAGCTGCCCATTCGCGACGAGTGCGCGCCGCGTGACAAGACGCGCGAAATCCGGCTGCACGGTATGCACTGTGTGAGTCACCGAGTATGATCGGCAGAGTAAAACCAACACCAGGCCCGCAAGTTGTCCTCCCAGCAGACCAAGAAGGCTGCACATGCCACACTATGGGCCGCCGACGAGGAGTCATCCCGTCGGCGACCCAAACTTCGAGCGAGCCGTCCGAATCCATCTTGCTGGCGCTCACGGGCACCCCCTGCATGGAATGCTCTGGGTCTGCGAGAATGTTGACAGCACGACAACAGGCTTTCTTTATCGCTGCTGCCCTGCATTGGCGTTCTAACCTGAAGTAGTGCATCTGGCGACGCCAGAGGCTACGGTCTTGGACTGGATGACGCAAAGCAGACTCGCAGGACGTCGATAACAACAACCCGAGCAAAGCCCGCCCCTGGCAGCTAGCGACTGTGTGTGTGTGTGTGTGTGTGTGTGGGGGCACAGGGCACCCATAGTTTGAGCTGAGTAAGCCAACATCCAAGTATCTGGCACAGGCAAACAAGCCTTTGGGACCGCAGCGATCGATGAAACTGTGGAACTCGTCTCGGGACGCCTCAAGGCCTCCTCGTGCCATGCAGTTGCTTCGCAAGCAGGGCAGGACCACCTGGCCTTGCTTAATCAGCAACCCAAACTGAGGCAGGACAGGGGATGGCAGGTGAAGGCTCAGGTATGCCTCAGACAGAGCATTAAGACTCCAGGCCATCAAGTCCTCAAGCTTCAGCTGCACCTGCCAGGACCCAAACAGCACAGGGCTGCTGCCCAAGACTCTGTCTGCTATGCAGTGCAACAGAATGTTCCCATCAATAGGCCAGATCCTACCACAGCCCCAGCCCAGGGCTCCGGCACCTGCGCAAGAGCAAGCCTCCTGTCAGGGCGCCGGCAGAAGCAGCGAGCGCCTGAAGCAGAAAAGCTCCAAAAATCCATCCCACTTCCAAGCAGTGGAGCTACGTGTCCTCCAGTGCCCAAGGCTTCCCCTAAGCGCGCTCACAGACATGACAAGACAGACCCCCGTCGAGCATATCAGCGCCTTCTGTCCCGACGACGAATCGGGGAGGCGGAGCCACGCGGGCGCCTGCCCAGACTTTCGCTATGCTCAGATCCTGAAAGGCCTGGGGCATCGATGAGGACTGCCTTCTCTTGCAACAACCGCAACCGCAGGCATCTAAAAGGCAGGACGGGCAAGAAATGTGCAGTAACAAACATGCGTGTAACACGGCCACCCAAAGTCTCTTGAAGCTTCGAGCCTCATCCTGCACCGCGCTGCGAACAAGGATCTATGGAAGCTGAAAGGAAGAAATGCAACGAATGCTTACATCACCACGATGGACTCTGCATTGGGCTGCTGCGGGGACTGTCATGGCCTAACTAACAACTGCTCCGTTGCTGTGTCCTCATGCGAAGCGTGAAATGGGCAAGCCGTCATGGATGCTTTAAGAGCCACCGTTGCCAGAGTCCAAAGCACTGTCTTAGACCATGGCTTTTACATCTTTTACAGAAACGATCTTGGACTTTCTGCAATGCCAAGACAAACCGCGCACTACCACAAGGGCAATCATGTCTGAAGCCCCTTGTCAAAGCAACCGCGCAATCAACACTTTCTTCTAGAAGGGGCTGGAGGTGGCAAATGCGTTCGACACCTGGACCAGTCAATTGTGGGACAGCAACAATCAGCAGAGAACAGCTGAAAGAGGTACTGCATGGAATGGACATGGAATGGACAGGAGATCATGCACAATTATTTTCACAAAAGAGCTGCTAATTTGACGCACAGGGTTGGCCCTAAAGCTCCAGGTGTTTCGTAGTAAGCTTTTTTGGTGACCTGTCGCGTGCCCCCCGCCCGCAACGCTTCGTCTGCGCAAGGAGGCGATTCAGCTCGAGAGAGCCAGGAAAGGAAAGACAGGTTGTCTTTGAGACGCAACATATCCAGGCAGACTTCTTGACAAGGTATGGAGTGTAGTCAAGGTAGCGAATATTTATAAATGCTTGCACCGACTGCTAACAGCATGCTGCCACTCCCGTGAGTGAGAAAAGTCGATTCGTCTGAGGTTTGAGAGCCGGGATAACTGATGCGGCATAGAGCAACATTGCACCATGCGCCTTACTGCACCCGATCAGACTATGGCGGTAAACGGTCGTCGTGAACCAACAAGCTTGTGCATCTTCCACTCAACAGCACATCAAATCTTGACGTGTTATACACTTCACCGACAAGCAACACTCCACCCTTTCACGTCCCTACCGTACACTCCTTCAAACCTACATCTGTCAGCCTAGCCGACCGGAAATTGCCTATCTTTGACCGGGAAACTTGAACTGCTGAAAAGCATGTCGGCAGTGTCATGAGTCATGAGCAAACTTCTGCATACCAAGAGTGAACTGTCCAACAAGGCGCAAGTATCCACTGCGCAGAATGGACCCTTTTACTCTCTCGCGGGGTCTGGACTGGCCTGTGCGTTGAAACGAGAATCGAGGTCGATGGGCGGGTGTGAACATTGAGGTGTCGGGCCACATCAGCAGGGGGCTCTTGCCCAGAAAGTGAACGTTTTGTAAGCGGCAAGAAGGACATAAGGAGACCGCACGAGAGCTCCAAACCCAGGGGCAGCTGCTGCAGCGTCGGCTTCCGCAGGTGTCCAGCATGTGTGAACGCCGCGGTGCACCGTTGCGTTTGCAAGAAAATCTCCTGCTTCGGTCTGCGCCTTGCAGGCCCAAAGAGCCGCAGAATCCGCAGAACTTCTGGGATTCAACGGAGCTGTTCATACGACTCTTGGAGCACCTTCAGCAATTCTTCTTCCCACTCTCGCCTCCGCCGTATGCTTCCGGAAGCACGGGCCGCCGACCAGGGAGGTGTCGGAGATCTCACACCAAGGCGCAAAACGACAACGGCAACTCGGGGCAAGCACGGCACCACCAACGCAAGTGCGTGTAGCGGTACACAAAGAGCCAGGGCCATTGCAGGGGTGCCCTTTTGAGAGTGGCAAGGCGCGGCGGTGGACCTTGCCAAGTTCAACCCTCACAAGGCCCACTGGCCACAAGAGCGTGAGGACAGAGGCGGGACGAGATGCCAGGTGGTGAAGAGTGCGCTCACCGACAAGCACCGACACATCCACGTCGGGCGGCGAAAGATACCGGCAGCGCATCGCTTGCTCGGAGACCCTCACCAGCAGGCGTTTTTGTCCGCAGGCCACCTTTGCCGATCCCACGGTGCTGAGCGCCAGGCTTCTGAAGCTTAAAAACACGGAAACACACACATTGTTAGAGAAGTCTCAGAAACACATGGCGGGCAAAGAGAGGGACCATGCAAGGACCCACTTCGAAAGAGCGTGGCTGATAGCACGTGCAGATCACTGCTTGCCACAACTGGCCCGGAGCTACGACTCCCGGCAGCCAAGGGCAGAAATCTACATGCCGCGCTCATCTGCAACACGAAGCAACCAGCCTGGATCAGTCTCCGCCGCGCTATTGAGGCTGGCGTTGATCCCCCGACGGTTGACGGTTCCGGGCCCTGCAGAAACCCCGACAGCCTCCAGAGCTTGCGAATTCCTTGCGTGTGCTGATATGCTGGAACAAACCTGCCGTGGGGCCGGCACTCTGCCTTTCTGCAAGCAGAGATGCTGAGGCGGCGGAAACGCAGCGGAAAGCTGCCGATTCGAGGAGGTCGACTGCCTTCTCTGTGAAACTGAGCAGTCCTAGCAGGACGACCACAAGTGGCAGCTGTTGTGTGGGTCTTCCTGTGGCCGAATCGAACTCGGTCGAGGCCTTTCCTCGAATACAGAACCCTCACACATTCAAAGGGCATTGAACTGTCAGGGTGGAATTTTTGGACTGCGGCAGGTATGAATAAACGGCCTCCTGAAGCTTAGATTTTATGTAATTCTGTTCCGGTCAGGAATAATGCAAGCAGCACGAATCAGCAGCAAGGTCGTTCACTTCAAACTTCTAGATACTACTTGCATGTTTGATCCTATTCCTGTCACCCTCCGGGGTTCTTTTGAGGCTAGCGTTGATCCCCCGATGTTGACGCCTCCGGGCCCTGCAGAAACCCCGGCAAGCTCAGTTTCAATGGACTGTTCCCTCTGGAGCTTGCGACCTTGCGTGTACTGATATGCTAGAACAAACCTGCCGTGGGGCCTGCGCTCTGCCTCCGCAAGCAGAGATGCGGAAGCGGCGGACAGGCGGCGGAAAGCTGCCAATTCGAGGAGCAGAGATCTGGCCTCAAAACAATGCCATCGGGTCATCCTGAAGGGATCAACGCGGCACTCAGGATCTTCGCGAGAACGGAAGTACGATGCCACGAATTCCCGGCCCATCCTGCTGCGCTTGCGCAGAGCAACGCTCTCTGCCGGCCTCCTTGAGACTTCCCGGCTGTGCCTGAACCTGGGCACTAAGACGCATGTCGGGTATGGCCGGCAGGCTTGCAAGTCCCGGGTGCCTACTCACGTGGCAGCCTGCCGTGGGCCCAGCATTCTGCCTCTTTGACGCACAACGCCAAATTGCATCACCAGCACGGCCGACGGCGGACTAGGATCCACGCAGGTAACGGCAAGGACACGCCTACCGACCAGGGATTTCTCAGCATGATGCACCCAGTACCCATCATCATGCCAGAACTCAAACAGCGAAAGCAGAAGTTGGGGAAGGCCACCGGCTCTAGGAACGATGTTTCGGTCTCAAGGAGATGCCGTCGGCGCATCCTCCTGGGACAGGGCCCATGTGCGTTGGCGAAGTGCTTCGCGAGAACTGAAACGCGACGTCACGACGTCGGCCGGTCGCGTCTGCTCAGGCAAACCTCGCCGGTCCAGTCCGCTGCGCTTGCAATGGTGCCACGACATGGAGCGAAACCCTTTCCTGCGCTGCTTGGAGAAGAGGTTCTGGGATGAAAAACATGTACATCTTCTGGCTGTCCTGCCTGTCAGGACGGTGCCACGGGCATGTCCGACAGAACTTGGCTACCCTCCTTGCCTGCCGTGAAAGGTGCCCGTGCCTCCCAACGAACCTATATGCTTCCGGGTCCCGCGCAGACCCTTCGACACCACAGGGCAAGCTTCTAGGCTTCCAGTGAGCCCTGGAGTGGGATCGGCGCTTTGTAATTTCGAATGCCGCCAGCACACCAAAGTGGACTGTGGCGGAAAGCACGCGCAGACACGACTGGTCCGACTGAGCAAGCGCAGTAGAACAGACTTCGCGAGCAGGGAAACCAAAGACGCCGGCCGGGCCGCAGCTGCTCCAAGCAGACATCGCCGTCCAGTCTGCTGCGCTATGCGGGTCTGCATCTGTTGTACCAGGGCCCGGGGGTGGAAGTACATTTACGGAGGGGTTAATGTTGTTCAGGGATGCCGGGGGGCTAAAATACATTTACTGCCTTGGGAGTGTGATTCACGATTATGGCACACCCTTTCTTTATTACGCTAGTACTTTTGTTGGCAATTTTATGCAACTACTGGTCTACTGGGTGGGCCTAACTGGAATTCTGGGCAGGAAGAGAGAGACAGAGAGAGGACAGGAAGAGACAGACACGTGGGTTGGCGAGGAGCCTTGCGGGCAAGGAAACGCAACGTCACGACGTCGGCCAGACCGCATCTGCTCAAAGCAGACATTGCCGTCCAGTCTGCTGCGCTTGGACTAGTGCAGGCACGTGCAGAGCAACCCTTTCCTTCGCTGCTTGGACAAGAAGTCTTCAAAAAATTCTGGGCTGGAAGGCATCCAAGTGTTCGGCCCGTCTTGCTTGCCAGTACTGTATTGTTCTGCGGGCATGTCGGACAGACCTCATCTCAAATTAACTGGGGATGTGGTGGATAGGACTTGAAACTGCTTGTGCCGTTCTCGGGACAACAGACCCTGCAACATCAGGCAGTGCCTGGTGACGGCTGCCAGGCCTCGCCCTGCCGAAACCTGGGCGTTCTCATGCCAGCCTGTGGTTCACATGCAAGAAAAGCCTTCCGTGGGTAAGTGCTTCACAAGCATTTCCGACGGCGGACTAGGATCCACGAAGCTAACGGCAAGCACGCCTGCTGGCCAGGGATTTCCCAGCATCATGCAGCCAGTACCCATCATCATGCCAGAACTCAAACAGCGAAAGCACTTGGGTGATCTGCCTTGTGTCTCGCTGGAAGCTTGCATCATTCGACATTCAATGAGCGAGCAAACTCTGCCAGCAAAGTTTCATGATTCACCGGTCCTGCTGCCTGCCAAGACTGCATTAAAACACTCCGTATTGACAGATTGCCTCTTTACAACATGTGCCGTTTATCCCGGAAGCTTACAAAACCTGCAGGTTCACGCTCTCTAGTTTACGTGCACATGGTGCGACGGTGCGACCCATGTTCAGCGCAACACGTGCTTCAATTGAAAACACGTGGCTGCCGGTGAAAATTAAGATGCTGAGGTCAGTGAAGGTTGCAACATTGCACCCTAACGCATGCCACGCTGCAAAATGCCTACCTCCACATTGGATCGCACCAGACAGCGTTTAGCGCAGCAGCTACTCGCGCACTTTGCTTTCGGGTGGCTCTTGCAACTCATAGAACGGCTGAGAGCAACGCCGTCTGCGCTGCTCGAAGCGCAAGTGTCAGCCTCGTGCCTTTCAGGACTGCCCTCCAGAAGGTGGGCTCTCTTCAGACTTTTCACCAGAGAGGAGGCGATGTCTTTGAACTTCTAGCAGCTGCCAGCCCCTTGAAGTTGGGGAAGGCCACCGGCTCTAGGAACCATAAGTGCATCCTCCTGGGATAGGGTCCATGTACGTTGGCGAAGAGCTTCGCGAGCACGGAAACGCGACGTCACGACGTCGGCCAGGCCGCGTCCGCTCAACTCAGTCCTCGCGAGTCCGGTCTGCTGCGCTGGCACTGATGCAGAGCAGCCCGCCTCCCGTGCTGCTTGAACAAGAAATTCTGGGCTGGCAGACGTGCAAAGGTTGAGGCCGTTTTGGCCGTCATGGCTGTGGCATGTCGGACAGAACTCATATCAAAGTAAGGAAAACTTCTGGCAACTGCGGACGTGTGCCTGTGCCGTTCTGGGGAGAACACACCTTGAAGAGTGAATGAGGCTGCACCTGCACTGAAAGTATTGGGCCTCCAGTCCCTGCAGAAACCCCGACGATCGGAGGCCTCCAGGTGTATTCAGTTTCAGTTGGCTGTTCGCCGCCTCGCAGATCCGTGGAGCTTGCACTCTGCCTTTCTGCGGCATGCAGAAGCCACGGAGAGCGACCACTTCGAGGAGCTATCTGGCCTCGAACAAAAACACCATCGGATCATCCTCACGGGATTGGCACGGTACTCATCAGGATCTTCGCGAGAACGGAAGTGCCATGTCGCTGAAAGCACTCGGCCAAGCCTGCTGCGCTTGTGCAGAGCAACGCTCTCTGCCGCTTTTGAGAAGAGCTGCTGTGACTGGCAGGCTTGCAAGTCCCGGGCGCCTACTCACGTGGAAGCCTGCCGTGGGCCCAGCATTCTGCCTCTTTGAAGCCAAACTGCATCACCAGCGCGTCCGACAGCGGACTAGGATGCACGCAGGTAACGGCAAGGACACGCCCGCCGTCCAGGGAATTGCAACCATGATGCGCGCTCTACCCAGCGTCATGCCACAACTCAAGCAGCGGAAGCAGAAGGAGCGGAAGGCCACCGGCTCCACAAAAGGCGATTCGGTCTCAAGGAGATGCCATCGGCAAATCCTCCTGGGACAGGGTCCATGTGCGTTGGCGAAGTGCTTCGTGAGCACAGAAACTCGACGTCACGACGTCGGCCGGCTTGCTGCGCTTGCACTGAAGGGCCCTCTTCACGGATGCCAGCCGCACAAGCCCACCAAAGCGCAGTCGCCTCCATGTTGTAGGCCAGGCAGGCCGGGGTGCTCTGCACGAGGACTGCGTCAGCCCGCTGCCCTCAAAGTGCACTGGACCTTCTTCGGCCGCGGGGCCATCCTGGTGCAACCGACAAGACGTGCCTGGGCCGTGAGTCTTTGCGAGCCTTGCATGGGGCACCGGCACGTGTCTCGTAGTACAGTGGCGACATGGTCTGGAAACTGCAGCTTCCATGCCAAACCTGACCAAGCCTTTGCCAGCACGACCCACGGCTCTTGCGCCTCACATCCAAGGCTACCTGCATGCTAGGGCTGGCACGGCCACGGAAGATCCCGTTGCAGCCCGCTCCGACAAGGCGAAGTCGTGGAGACATGCAGAACCTGCGCGGCCTCAATCCCACGCCCGGTAAATCGCGGGAGCCTCTATGAAAATCTTTCAATTGCACAAACCGCGGGGGGCCTCTATGCGACGGATGTGCCCCTGTCACATATTGCATCAATCGCCCTGCTCGTTGCAGAACCCTGAAAGCCCTGAACCCTACAATCAACATCCCAGGACCCACTTATATAGGCCCAAACCTTCCCTGAACTTCAGGGCCTCGGGGCGAGCGAGACGCGATCACAGCGTGTCAGCGTGCCGGGTCAATCTCTCGCGCACGTCTGGTGGCGCTGGGCCTGCGGGCCTAGGGACCGAGGACGAAGGGTGCGGAACCGCTTCTGGCGCCAGGAGCCTTCCCCGCGACACTGCGAAGCAGGGATGCCTGAAAACACCCGATACATCTGTCGATGCTCGATGCGAAGTAGGGTCCAACGATGAAACGGTTGGACTATGTCAACGTCCTGCAGCAACCTGCTTGAGGTCCCGACCCCTGGAGCCTATAAAGAGCAGTGCCTCGTACAAACTGCCATCTAGCCTTCGAGCTCCAAGACTGCCAGGGGCGCGCTGCGGGAGTTGAAGCTGAAGGACCTGCTCCCTAAGCCAGAGTCAGACGACGCGGCAGGTCTGCGGGAGCTGCGCCGCTCTGGGGGCTCTGGGGGGAGCAGTCAGACGGCGCGACGCGGAGCACATCGAAGCACCACTGCTCACGGACTCTGCGGCACACAAGACCGAGAAGGCTGCTGCGACGTGCTTCGAACAGCTACAAGTACTGCTCAACCCGGCTCCTCGATCCTCGATGGCGTTGGCAGCCCTGCTGAGCTCCTCAACTCGATGCGGCACTCATCGGCGAAGGTGCAGCCGAATCCGCGGCCGCGCGGTGGAGGGAAGTGACAGTTGCGACATTGCGAAAGAGAGCGAGGAAAGAGAAACGTCGTGGCTAAACATCTGGGCAGCTGGCGACGCAGATCTTGGCCAAGCCTTCAAGCTTCCACGGTGAAGGCTACGTGAGACCCCTTGGCTGCTCACTTCTCGCGAAGCCACACCTTCCTGCCAGGAGCCGAAAAGGACGCCGAGCGTCACAAGAGCCTCTCCGACCGCAGAAGATCAACGGTTCGGAACCCGGACCAGGTCTAGCCCACTATGAGAATCACACTCCCCCGGCCCTACTCGTGCCAAAGAGTCGCAGTTCCTAGGCAGTTCCTAGGCTCGCCGAAGCATCGAAACTGCGTGGTTCTGAAGCCCTGACAAACCAGGTCTCCACAAACTGCACATCACACCTCTTTCAG